AAATGCCAATGTAAGTAGTTGGAACATTAATTGATCCAAACTGTAAAAAGAGGGGAATGTACCTTCAGATTGTCACCAAAGAGTTTCAGATAAATTGTGGCTTTATCATCTCGGATTCAAATAAATCTTCCAATGAAAAATAAAGAAAAATTAGAGAGAAATATCATGCAAAGAATCTTATGTAATTTAAATCCAATTTGTTAATGTATAAATGTCAAACTAAATGCAAAGTACAACACCACGAAAGGAAAATTTTACAGAAATCTGTATGTCTAATATGGAGCAATGGTAATATCCAACTCTGAATCCTACATAAGCTGATAGAGACTTAAAATTATAGTTGTATGACTCAATGACAAACTCCCAAACACGAAATTGACTTGATAATAAATAGTCAGATCTCACCAGACAAAACGTATGTATCCTCTTATGAAACACTTCTTATTTATAAAAATGAATGGGAAAAGAAGAGGTACCAAGTACATCCATGCAATGTGCAACTAATAGTAGTCAGTTGAAAAGAAGGCTTCAATTTTTCTGGACAGTAGCTTCTCCAAACTATGGAAAAAGATTATAAAGTAATTCAATACACAACGACATTGGAATAGGTAAATATCTTTTATATGGTAAAGATAAGAAACTATATGATATTTTACCTCTATGAAGTGACCAATTCTACAACTTTGTACAAAAGTTCATAAGCTTTTGTGAGGAAAGGTCATAAGTCTCAGAAACTTCTATCAAACTAAAAGCAATTAGAGACTATGGAGTTGCCTTAGTGGCAACCTCAAACGAGAAAAACTTCTTCATGGCCTTTGTAAGCGTTTTTGTTTTTCCATCACGTGGTTTATGTTAGTAAATTCTGCTACTATACAATCAACCTAACATAAACAATTTGATCACCCATATTTATATATATATAAAGGAGAATTATGTCTCTTTTCATTAAGCCATGTCATCAGTCAATTATTCTCTTGCTGCCACATCAACTTAAGCAAAACGATAAAGTTTTCTCTTAAATCGATCATCAACTTTTTAAAGCGGGCCTTAAAGAACTTTTGTGTATACATTTAGTCGGTCCAACATCTTTAGTTGGCCAGAATCACTTTCTTTCTCGTATCCACCAACCCTAAGCACTGAATCACCATCAACATAACGCCTCGCCTCAACACTGAAACCAAGTCATTAATTTTAGCTATTAATTCCTCCAACCCATCTCTCCCACTAAGTCATATTTAATTTCTCCTCTCACTCTTTTGAACTTCTGAGGAATCAATACTATAAATAGTGAGGATGAACTTGCCAGATCTCATTGAGCTATCCAATTAATTCAGATCTTCTCCTTGCAAACACATCCACAGAATTACGGTGACCTCTCATCTCCTTTAATAATAATTGAAGTCTGCAATGATTTTTCAAACTCAAATTGCCTTCATTTTTTTTTATCTTCAACACCTTATTCAACATTTTCATTGTTCACAGTTGAGTCTCAACCAGGTTCTATAACTGTGCCATCCTTAGCATAGAGGTTTTGGACGATCATCCATAAAGGTTTCCTTGATTCCCCTTTCTCATTATTTTTTGTTCCATAACTATAAAGCTCCAGAAAATGACTGGTATGTTGACCAAGTTATAAATTCTGGCCTTAGTCTGATTTTCACACAACAAAAAGAAATGAAAAACAGTGTGAACGAAGAAAAAGGCTATCAGACATGCGGAAAGAACGGTAGATCTACTCGAGAATGCAGTGAACTGAGGATTGGAGGAGTATTTCCTTAACGAGAAATATATTTGAGACAGAGATAAGATCCATGGCAGTTTCGATTGCATGATTTGGCAAATAGACGGATTAGTGGTAAGCCGTCACTCACACTGTTAATAGCGATGTGATGGTTTTGTACATCTACAACCTATTCTTTAAATGATGTTTCATTTCTTTAGAGTGTTTTGTGTGTGTTTTTGTGTTTTCATGTTGGTGATCCTAATTAATATACAAATTATCAACATTTTTTGTTAGTACATCGTCTTCACCTTAGCTCTAAATTTCCATTCTCACCACCAAAAGGAATACGTATGACCATTTAAATACAAGATGATGGAAAATAGTTTAAAAGAGGGTGGGTCAACCAACTTGACGTTGCAACTTAGTTTTGACGAATATTGTTTAACCCAAACTTTATAAGTATCAAAAAATCAATATCTAAGTTTCATTAGTAATTTTACTTGATTTTATATTTTATGATATATTAAGGCTGAATCGTGTAACCTGCTCATTTGTTATCTTATAACAATTCTGAAAAGTGCTAGCCTCAATTTATATGAATAATAAAACAAAAACATGACGACAACCAAATATATTATTGTATATGTTATTTAAGCACCTATACTATTGTGTCTACAATTTAAACACCCATCCAACCCTTTCTTAATTTCCACAATCATTCTAAAACCACAGCCTTTCCACTAACAAACTCTAACATACGGTTTACAAGATACTAACTCAAACAACAAGACTCTTAGACTCACAACATCACTTGCCAAAATTATAGATCCCAAACGGTTAACTACATATACATAATTTTCTTCCAAGAATATTATGTATGTTAGTCTCGTCTCAATGTAAAAGAGAACTCTAAGGTTGAAAAGATAAATCAGCACTAATTTTTATGGGTTTTTAAAAATGGTTTAGTCATATATATATATATATATATATATATATATATATATATATATAATTAAATAATCAGGGTGTTTTTGAATAGGAAATTTAGAAATGCAAAAAATTATCTACCATTTTACCAACTAAAAATAAAATACACTTGAACTTAGACCATGTGCAAATGCATATTCCTTAAACATGCATAAAGATGAGCCACTGACACTCATCCGAAAAATGCACACGGTCAACATAGACAGACTTTAACAGTATGGAAGAGATTCATAATCACGTACTTAAAATGTAAGCTATCAGTTGCACTTTAAACATACAATTAATTTCATGTCGTTGTTAATGCAATCAAAATACCAAACCACAACCCATTACAAGAAAACACTGATTTTGAAACTAAATTTGTGACTGTAGTGGTAGTCACAAAAATGTGCATCCAAGTTCTAACAAATTTGTAACATCAGTGCGACAATGTGTAATGCATCATAAATTAGTCGCAGTTTTGTGA